ATATAGGTTAAAAAGTTGTATACTATACATATTTATTTGTATATCTTGGTGAACTACACATATACAAACTTTACTAATTATACAAACTCGAAGTGAGTCCATGTAATTAATGTATAATGTGAGTGGTAATTATAACAAACTATAGCTATGATGACTAATTAAATAGTATAACTTTGTTTAGCCACGTAATTTTTCAATTTATAAACTCACTGAAATAAGATTTTGTAGAATAGAGTATTTTCAGTTAACAAATAATGACTTGAATGAGCAATTTGTCAAATAAGAATGACATAAATGAGTTAAACTTTTAATGAATGACAGAATATGAGTTGTTTACAAAGTTCTATATATATATATATATATATATATATATATATATATATATATATATATATATATTATTTCTAATAACATGAATAATTTTGAGAATTGTTATCTGATTATAAAATCCACATTCTTATTTATTTTTAGCAGAATTAACTATATGTTTAACCATAATATTGTTTTTAAAAAATATGTTAAATCTTTTCTAACGTTTAAAAAAAGGGAAAAAGTCTTACATATGTCATCAAAAATTAAAAAAGAGAATCATCATATTATCAGTTAAAATTTTTGTTCATTTATACTAGGAAAAATACATCAAATCCCCTTGAACTTGGCAGCAAAACTCACTTTAGTACTTTAACTACACGAGTATTTAAATATCCCCCTTAACAATTCTGAATTGATTAAATATCACCCTAAGAGCTGACATGGCAAAGTAAGTGTAGGCACTCTCCTCAAAGTCATACACATGACATTTTTTTATTAGCTAATATCTAACTAATATTTTTTTAAATATTTTTTACAAGTTAAAGTAAAAGAATGTGAAATTTTTTTTTAGAAGTAAATGAAATTTGTGGGTTCAATTATTTTTAAAAATATTTATTTATTTTGTTCTCTTTTTATTTAGTTGTCTTCCCCAAATGTCTTCTTCCCCATTGAAGCACTCCTCACACATTTCTTCTTTCATATTAAAATTTTCCCTTCATTTTTATCATTCACCTCACACGTCCTTCATCAATCACAAAAACTCAACACGCAATTCATATTATTGAATGCAAACTTTCTTGAATTTTAAGTAAACTATTTTGAATTCTATAGTTGTGATGTAAAAAAATGTGGGACTATCAACTTTTTTTCACAATCTTCATTTTTCATTCAAGTTGTTAAGAAAAAAATAAATTTCAAAAAATATTATAATAAGAAAATTTGTGAGAGAGAGATGGTTCGAAGAAGAAAAATAAGTACTTGATGAATGTTGAAAAAGAAAACAATCATTGAAAGATGAAAATTCAGAAAAAAAAGAAGTTAGTGAAGGTTGAAAATGGTGAAAATCAAAAAAGAAAGAAAGGGGAGGGGCTGGAAGAGAAAGGGTTGAAGAAGATGTGGTAATTTTGATTTTATAATGTATTTTTAATAAAATGATTAGTGTAATGAGTTTAAGAAAACAAAAAGGTGAATAGCAAAAAAAAATAAAAATTAATGACATGGTACTTACATGGCTGATGTAGTGCTTACATGGTTAAGATGTGGCAGGCGAGAGTGGTATTCTACTCTCAAGGTTGTGTTTAATACAGTTCAAAGATGTTAAGGGTGGTATTTAAACGCGCGTATAGTTAAAGTACTAAAGTGAGTTTTGCTGTCAAGTTCAAGGGGAATTTGATGCACTAAACAGAGTTTATTTGTATATCTTGGTGAATTATACATATACAAACATGATTAATTATACAAACTCGAAGTCAGCCCACATAATTAATGCATAACAGTAGTCGCGAGTGATAATTATAGCAAACTATAGCTATGATGAGTAATTAAATAGTATAAATTTGTTTAGCCGCGTAATTTTCCTATTTATAAACTCACCGAAATAAGATTTTGTAGAATAGATTATTTTCAGTTAACAAATAATGACATGAATAAGCAATTTGTCAAACAAGAATGACGTAAATGAGCTATCTTTTAACGAAAGACAGAAAATGAATTTTTTTTAAAGTTCAATATCATTTATATATATTGAGAATTGTTATCTGATTATAATATCCACATTCTTATTATTATTATTTTTTTGTAGAATTAACTATCTACTTAACTTGAGATTGTTTTTAAAAAATATATGTTAAATCTTTTCTAACGTTTAAAAAAAGGGAAAAAGTCTTAGGTATGTCATCAAAAATTAAAAAAGAGAATCATCATATTATCAGTTAAAACTTTTGTTCATTTATACTATTTTGATTTTTTAAATAGGCATATTCATTAGGGGTGTATAAAAACTCAATCCATATATAAGTTAAATAAAAAAGAATGTTATTGATTTCTGTTATTGGCTTATTGGATTAATGATTTTTAATTGTTTTATAATTTTTTTTTATTGGGATATCGATTTTGTATTGGTTTTGAACATTGGATTATTAGGTAAATTGATAACCCACTAACAGTAATTTACTACTTTTACTTGTACATAAGTATCAAATATTAATCTCAAAATCTTATTACTTATGACTTTGTCATTTAACCTTCAATTCATATTTCACCTTGACTTCGATTTCAACAATTTTATTATTCAAATAGTCAAAACCTAAAGCAAGAACATTATTCCTCTTAATTTCTCTTTGTGATATATACATATAGTTCTTTTTATATTTGCTATTATTTTTTATTTTATGAGCATTTGTAAAGAGGAGAAGGGCCTAAAATGCCCATCAACTATTTGAATTGATACCAAATTATCCTTCATCCACCTTTGGCCCCCAATACCCCTGATGTTAACCTGTTGGCTCAATAATACATTATGTCTGATGGATCATACTCATTAGGTGAATGAAGGACATTATTGTACCAAATCATAAAGTTTAAGACCATTTTAAGCACTTTTCCTTTAAAACAATTTGAAATTACTTAATATAGAAGCTCGCACGATTGACTTCGTTTTGAATTTCATAATATATTTTAAATAAAAAGTTAGTCATCTATTCTCTACACCTCCACCCACTCTAGACCCCAACCCTTCACTTTCTATCTCCTCCATTTTTTTTTCCTAGTTGAATTTTGTCCACCATTTTATGTAATTATTATTTTCAATTAATGACAAAGAAGAGAGAAAAAAAGGAGGGAAATAACGATCCATTCGTATAGAAATAATTAATTCAATAAAAGATGACTTAATTACGCAAATATGTAAGGATATTACATTTTTTTTCTTTTATGGGTACCAAAAATTCAAAATAAAAGAATAAAAACAACCATTTCTCTTATCGACACCCTTATCCCACCATAACAATACAAATTAAAAGAAAAGAAACATGTGAGTTTATTTCAAGTTATACTTCCGAATATCCTAATTAAGAATAAGAGATTAAAAAATAAAAGAAAAAAATGAACAAGACATTAGGATAATTAATAGAAGATTTTATTTAATGAAAATAAAAAAAATCAAATGGACAATAAGTCGGGTGAGTATGGATTTCAGCTGGATCTCCATTTATGAGTTGAGTTACGTTAAAATGAATTGAAGGCTTATTTAAATAGATAAATAAGAGTATATTATGAATTTCTTTTTTCAAAATATTATTTTCAAGTGTATCGGGTCAAAATATGAATCACGTGATATATATATATATATATATATATATATATATATATATATATATATATATATATATTTGTGAAGGGTTTGAATTGGACCAATCACATTAAGCAATATAATAAATAAATATTTAATTTTACTTTGAGAAACTTATTAAAAATAAGGACAAATATAAGCCAAAGGATTAACATCAAGAGTATTTTTCAGTCAAAAGGTAGACGTCATGGGTAATTTAGGACCAAAAGGTGGATAAATTGTAATTTTGTACCAATTCAAATACTTGAGGAGCATAATATGCCTCCGTTTGTAAAAGTTACATTATTATCTTGTCGCGTCAAATTTATTAGAGAAGTCATATATTTGTTTGATAAATATTTTCTTATTGATTAAATCAAAAATCAAAAACCAAAAATCTATCTGTTAAGGACTAAAACTGATAAACTAATAAAAATATCTTATTGATTTGGTTATTGATATTTAAATTAAAAAAATTGAACCGATATTAAAAAAAAGAATCAAATCAATCGTTGCTGTCACAAAAAAAAAATGATTGGTTGCTTGAATGTATGTCAAAGGACTATTTGACTCGTGACGCCTTAGATGAACCTTTAGCAATGATGCACACAATGATGAATCTATAATTTTTGTTCAGGGAATTCGAAAATAAAAGTGTAAACGTATAAATAAGTCTTTAGAAATGGGACCCTTGAATTCTTTTAGGACTAAAACAACATTTTTAGAACTTTTTTAATTTTTTTTAAAAAACTAAAAGAAACTTGAAAACATAATTGAAAATTAAAAAAAGAAAGAAATTGAAACTAGAAAAGATAACAATAAAATGTTATCACAAAAGATTGAACTGCTATTTGAAACTCAATTTCCAAGAGACTTTCCATTATACCATCAATTTTTCTTTGTTATTAAGAAAATTCGATATATATATATAACTATACCATATAATTTTTTTCTAAAAAGATTCGAGTAAACTCTTGGATCCAATGTGGGTCCACCACTGGATGCACACCCCTAATATGCATATTATTATTTGTTGGTGAATGAAATAAATGAATTGCAAAATGCGATAATAGCTTTGAGTTTTTTTTTTTTAAAAAATTCAATCAATAATATAATCACATTAATTAATCATTATTAACGACGTATAAATAATAATTTTGCAGAAATAGAGTATTATGTTTGAAATAAAACGAAAATCCAGTTGTTTGGCCAAACTCATCACAAAAACCCTTCTTATTCCCGCTGTGTGTTTCTCTCTGTAATATCTGTCTCTATCTTCACTGCTATCTATGTCGACAAAGAGGTAGATAAGAGTATAAGCAAATCCGTATTAGGGTTTAGTTTTACTAGGGTTTATCACTCCCTGTTTTACTCTCTGAAACTTTGAGAGACCATAAGGGTGACTCTGTGAAATGCACCAAAGGTATGCAGAAACTGTTAAGCAGAAACCCATCGTTACCGCCTCCAGTTCTATCCCTTAATCCCCTTCTTTCTTTACCTCTTTCTCATCCCATAGGGTTTTACAAACACCCACTTCCTCCCAGTCCTAGAATGACTTCTGCCGCCTTCCACCGGCTTCACCATCCCACTATCGGTAAACCCTTTTTGGGTTTTCGGAATATGTCTACGGATTCTTCTGGAAAGGCAGTTGTTTCTCGTGGTGGTAATAATTGCCATATTTGTAGATGTTCTCTTGAAAATGCGCCGGTGAGGGCTTGGGTTGTTTTGAAGCAGAGTAGGACTAGTGCTGCCTGGTTTGGCACTCTGGCTTCGGCTTCTGGGTCTGAGAAGGGTGTTCCCGTCACTTCTGCTGAGGAGGTGGAGGACTCCTTAAGTGGGGTTGAGGATAAAGAGGAAAATGTGAGTGCCTCGGAGGAGAAGCCCGGGTTACATAGGAGGCAGAGGGGTAGTGGTGGTGGGGAAGGAGGGGTTATGGCTAGTCCAGATTTGCTAACTATACCGGGTGTTGGGCCAAGGAACTTGAGGAAGTTGGTGCAGAAGGGTTTTATGGGGGTTGATCAACTCAAACAGCTCTACAGAGATAAGGTATAATGATAAGCACCTAAAATATATAGTTTTGAAATGTTAAAAAGTGAAAACTTTGTATTTAGGATTAAGTTTATGGGGTGTAGGCATCCCACTTACGAGAAAGAACAAGAAGTTAACCAGTAAGTAGTTCATCAAACACAAGTAACAAGTTCGTCGGCCTTCCTTCGATGCCTTCTTCTTCATTTCATTATTTGCATTATTTTGTTGCGTTGCTCTGTTCATAGGTCCATGTGGGATTGTTTCTGTAGGGGATTTTGTTTCCATAAAAAGTCAATTTCTGGTGCTTGGTTATTAGGCATTTATTTTTAGGGAAAAATATTTTCCATCAAATGGAAAAACCAGCTCTGATGAAAAAAAAAACACTCCATCTTTCACCTTGTAATGGTTATTATATGCCACTCATTTATACAAAATCAAACATTGGTAAATGATTTTCTCCCGAAAATATTAACTGGAAAACATTTTCCTCCATACCTGAGAAGGCACCCATAATTTTAGAGGGTCTACAGAAAGTAGTATTGAAATGACTTGACCTTGAATAAAGCGGACTAACTACAAAGGATTAATTTAACCAAGCATTGTAGTTGAATAACTGCATGGCATAGAAACCTCCATGGCGAAATGGATGGACGACTCTCTTAGAAGTGTTAAGAGGATGGGCATGAACTATTGAGTTGTATTTTCTTGGACATGACTCTTATCAATTTTTCGATATGTTAGGATTTTCTAGGACTGCATGTTCTTTTGTGAATCCAGTTAATTGTTTAACTTGACCAATTTGGATAGCCAAAATAGTAATTGGTATCTCTGTTTTGCAGTTATTATTGAGTTGAACAGGGTGAAGTACTTAACTTAAAAGAATATGTTTGGGTAATGTTAAGGAAATTGTGCAGCTTATTTGACCTGTAAACTTGATATACTTTGTTATAGTAAAAAGGCAGTATTTTGGCTTCTTTGCAGTTTTTTGGAAAATCCAACGAGAAGATGGTTGAGTTCTTGCAAAGCTCAATTGGAATCATTCACAGAAACCATGCTGAGAGTATCACCACATATATCAGAAAGAGCGTGGATGAAGAGTTGAAGGAGAATAACTCAGATTCCAATGTGAAGTCAACACAAAAGAAACGACTTACTTTCTGTGTTGAGGGAAATATTAGTGTTGGAAAAACAACCTTTCTGCAGAGAATAGCTAATGAGACACTTGAATTGCAAGATCTTGTTGAAATAGTTCCCGAACCTATTGCCAAGTGGCAGGATATTGGGCCAGATCACTTTAACATATTAGATGCATTCTATGCGGAACCACAAAGATATGCTTACACATTTCAAAACTATGTTTTTGTAACAAGGGTTATGCAGGAGAGAGAATCATCTGGTGGTATCAGGCCCCTCAGGTTGATGGAGAGAAGTGTGTTCAGTGACAGGATGGTAAATTTCTCACCTTGTACAAGCTTGTGAAGATGCTCATTGATCGTGTCTTATTTCTTGATCTTTGATTGTGTAGCAGTCCCTTAGCTCCTAAGACAACGCATGTTTATATGTATATATATATATATATATATATATGCTTCAAACAATCCACTGAGAGTTAATATTTGTTCTATACACAACCAGTGTTATCAAAGGCGAAAAGTGCAAAAAAGCTCTAAGGTCCATGGGGGCTTTAAGCGCAAAGCACAAATAAAGTGTGTCTTAATGGAAAAAAAAGCGCAAAGGGAGAAAATAATACAAATATATATGTTTAGTCGAAGACTAATAACTATAAACATGAATGACAAATATGTGACCAAAGAAGTTGAAAAAAATTATGATCAAGTGAAATCAAATATTTAGTGTCACTTCGTCATATAATGCTCATTGGTAAGGAAAAGTTTGCCTTAGAACCTTGATGACGACACTGAAGCGCCCATAAAGCGAGGCGAAGCGCTCAACACGTTTTGAGCCTCGCTTCAGGGCTTAAGCACACCTTTGATAACACTATACACAACATACTATACCTAGCGGACCTTAACTAGTTTGAGATTGAGTTGTTGTTGTTGTATGCAATGTAGTATATCTGGTTTGTAATACTGTGACAAGGCTTCTATATGATGCATAATGTTTTTCATAAAGGTCTTTGTGAGAGCTGTTCATGAAGCAAACTGGATGAATGAGATGGAGATCAGCATTTATGACTCATGGTTTGACCCGGTTGTTTCAACTTTGCCTGGACTCATTCCCGATGGTTTTATTTATCTTAGAGCAAGCCCTGACACATGTCACAAGAGAATGATGTTGCGTAAGAGAACAGAAGAAGGCGGAATTTCCTTGGAATATCTGCGAGGGTTGCATGAGAAGCATGAAAGCTGGCTTTTCCCATTTGAAAGTGGAAATCATGGGGTATTGTCTGTCAGCGAGCTACCCCTTAACTTTGACAAATCTGTACCCCCAGAAATAAGGGATCGTGTTTTTTATCTGGAAGGCAATCACATGCACCCGAGTATTCAAAAGGTATGTTCTATGAATGTAACTTCAGCTTGTGGACACTTTTCCCCTGATAAAGCAGTTCCTGGATATTCGTGCTACAGACAACAATGTGTCTAACTATCTATTATAATGCAGGTTCCTGCGTTGGTTCTCGACTGCGAGCCTAACATTGACTTTAACAGAGATATTGAAGCAAAGAGGCAGTATGTCAACTTTTCCTTATTTACTAGTATTATTGTCTTATATCTATTTTCTCTTTCACTTAATATACCCACTGGAGGATATCATCTTCTTGTTACAAATCTTTAAATATAAGGATTGAGTGCTGGTTCCAGTAAATGTCGGAACAGTTGATCGTCTAATAAGCCATATAGGTCTAGTAGATATTTCTGAAGTATGGATGATAGGTATATCAATTAATTGACAGCTCCGGTAATTTGTAGGGTTACTGCTAACATGGAACTTGACATGGACTAAAATAGGCATGATAGGCTTGAGGAAGTGAGGAATGGAGATCTGACAGTGCAAGAGAGCTGGTTTTTCTTTCCCTGAGATGCAGGCTTAAGAGATCCTTTCTTCCTTTGGGGTTGGGGCTAGAGAACCTTGATTGATTAAAATCATGTTACAGTCTTACACACACAATAGGATCTTGCAGCTGTTAACACTTGATCACTAAAATGAGGATAAAGAAAAAGTATCTCCCATTTTCTAATACTTGCCCCCCAAAAAAGGATCTATATCCTCAAAATGAGTTGTCCTTCATAATATTTGGGATTTATTATTCTACATTTTAACATCATAACAGGTAATCGTTGTTTTCCGATGTCTTTAGTCCATAATGATCAAAGTGGATTGTAGACAACTGAATTTCTTTTATATGCAATCCTTCCCTGAAGTACTTGTTAAACGTGAATTGTAGAGTCATTTTTTGAAGCTCATAAAATCCTTTTACTAGCTGACTTTAACATTTATCTTTAGTAAGTTTGTTGTGTATCAGGAATGTCCTCTGATTTGTGCTTTGTTTCTGTACAATTGTTTACCCCCTCATTGCCTGGTTCTTGAACTTCATGGTGGTTATGTTTTATTTGGTTGTCTCTTCTTATTTGAAGGTATGCTCGTCAAGTTGCTGATTTTTTCGAGTTTGTAAAAAAGAAGCAAGAAGTCATGCCAGGAGCTGGAGAAGAACAGCCTAAGGGCAATCAAGCACCGGTGATGCTGCCTCAAAATGGAGGTTTGTGGGTACCTGGTGGCAAATTCTCAGAATCAACACTGAACTTGGATTTCAGACGAAATATGTCATTCATGTCTCACTAGTGCATGTTGCTCATCGTTGCCATATCCATAACTTTTTGGAAGCAATTTTTTTTTATTTCTCCATGTAAAAATGTGTTTTGGACTACTCTAAGCTTTTTAACCTGCAGTGGTGTAGGAGTAGGTTGTATGTGGATGTTGGTAGGATGTTGATTAGTGAAAGCTTGTTTTCATTTGATGGCTGTGGCCAGTGTTCTTTGTGATTTGAATTCATATTTAGACTAGCAGTATATTACCCCATTGCATGTCTCTTATATGTAGCAACGTAAATATGGATTTGAAATTTATTTGTTTATTCAAGTGGATCCACTTGCAGGTAATATACTGTATGTAAGACTGACGGGCTTCGAATGAGGCCCTTCATCTTTGGGCAATGGGGTGTACTGGATGTATGCTACTAGTCTCGATAATGTTTTCATTCAAAACCAACTTGAATTCATTAGCTAAGATTCAAAAATGTTGTTCAATGACTTTTTAATTGAAATGTTTGATCGGTTATTTTTATTATGTGTTATTCGTCCACCTAAACTAGATTGATTTCACCCAGGATATACATGTATATAAAATAAATGGATTTTTATTAAACGTAAGTACATTATTTGAATACAAACTATGAAATTTCATCAAATTCGAAACTTAACCCTGAAAACTCACTCATTTTTTGAAATAATCTTCTAAATTTACGAAAGTAATTAATCATATTCTAGAGATGCTTTGTACCAAATGTTTGGATTCTTATTTTTTTTTACAAGGAAGGTGTTTAAAACGATTATGGATAAAAGAACAAAAGAAAATAAATCAAAACAAGAGATGAAAAAAAGGGAAAAAGTTACTCAAAATAGATTCAATAGTAAACCTATTTATCCAAATTGGGTCGAACCCCTACTATTTATCCTGGATCCATGTTTACCCCCACTTTTTCTTTTCTTATTTCGCGACTAATGTCAGCATGACATCAACATCATTATTGTGAATTAATCCGTTGTGATGCTCCGTCGATTTATTAATATCATATAGGACTAAGCTCAATCTTCCCTGATGATTCGTCGGTGCGTTGATATCCTATCAATATCATATAGGATTATGCTCTTTTCTAAAGAAATAAATAAAAGCAATTAAGAGAAAATTATTAAAGTCACAATCTTATTTATTAAACTCTAAATTAGTAAAAAATATATTTATATTTTTTTCTCTTTTTGATTTTTTTTAAAAATAGTATCTAAATTATGATCCTTTCTAAAATCGTTTTAAGATTAAAATATTGAGGAACTGAAATAATATTTACTAATACCACTACAGTATGTAGATATACCATGATTGTAGTATAAATGATTGAGTAATCACATCGAAGACTAGAACAAATCTTAACAAAAACAATGTACAGATATCACCAAATATATTATACTTTGATGATATAAAAAAAAGAAAAAGAAACAACCATTCAATGAAGACACTACTCAATAATTTTTTCATACCATTAAAATTAGTATAACTTACATAAATCCCATAGTGTAAGATTTTAATTACCTTCTATTTCTATTATTTTTTTAATTAAATAAATCCCATGTTTTTAGGTATTTTTGATACATAATTAAGGATCCGGATTATTGTTGATACATTATGTGTCAATCTGTTGCATTTATTAAGGAAAAAAAAATTGAAAAATCAAATTACGATATTATCCATCTGTTACACTAATTAGGGGGGGAAAAATTGAAAATAATTTAAGTCCCATAAATTGGGTTATTTTCTTTCATATTGTCAAGAATTCAATCATATAGTGTAACTATCCAAAAAATTAAAAAATTAAATTTCTTCTTGTACATCGTTTTCTCTGTTTCATAAAAACTTTTGTCAAGATTTTGGATAAGCAAGGTGAGTTATGAAGGATACAAAAGTGATCAAATTATTTTTGGACAAACGATTTGTTTTGTGAATCTTCAAGTTCATCGAATATCCTTTCGATTTTGATACAAGATTGCCGAAAATTTTGAGATTCAAAATTCATCTACAGTTCATTCAAGATCCTTTCAAATTTTTATTCATAATATCAAAAAAATTGAGGAGACACATTAAATGAAGATCCTTTCAAAATTAAGAGAAAATAAGTTGTAAAGATATTTAATTAGAATGTTTGTCCATAGTTGAGGGAATTTGCAAAAAGAACGTCCATGTCTTTGAAAGTTAAGGCACGAAAAATCTCTATTTAGTTACTTTGTTTCCTGTTAAGAAATTTTGAAAAGAACCTATGTAGCCAAAAACTCTTACTTTTGCTGTAGACTTTGTTTTCTCAGTTTGTAGTCATTAGAAACAGTTATTTCTTGACCATCTTTCTATTGATTCTTTATTCTTATATTTCACTTTCTTTGTACTGATTCAAATAAGTGTCGTATTTTTAATAGATACATTTAATAAGAAAGTGTTGTTCATAAGATTTTAGATTTGAGATCGATACATTATTTTTTGGTAATTGTTATGTATCATATACATTTAGTATAAATTCAAATTTATATATCAAAGCTAAAAAATTAGTACATGATACATTATTATTTTTGTATTTTATTTTGTTTGAGAAATTCTATAATAAAATTTTTTTAAAAAACATTATACATGAATTTGTATCAAATTAGCTTCCCTTTTTGTGTGTGATACATAACACAAATTTTATGTATCAAGTACATTTATATTGAACATGATAAACACTAATTGAAGATTCAACATTATTAGCGTTATGTATCTACCTTAAATATGAACATGATACATTGCATACAACAAAGATTATTGTAGCACTGTATCAAATCAATGATAACTAACAAAGACTAATTTAAGACTCTAAATAAATGAGATACATTAAAAATACGTATCTTTGACAGTGATGGCGTGCAATGACAGATTCCATATTTTATTTTTTTTGGACGTTTTTTAACTGTAGATACATTAAAAGAAAATAAATATTTTTCAAGAAAAAATTTCAACGACGATATGATTAACTAAAATTACAAAGGTTCAATAAGATTTCAATGGGGTCAGCGGGAGGAGATAATTTTGTTTTTATTTTTTAAGATGAAAAGCTAAAAAATAATAATAAAAGAAATCGGAGATTGAGAGATGGAAAGAAATCTACCTATTGAATAATTTGAAATTATTAATTGGAAATAAAAAGATTTAAAATTCAAAAATGTATTGATTGATGTAATTATTGAGAGATTTGTGGCGTGAAAAAAGGCAAGAAAATCATGGGTATGAGATTTCAAGTTAATGTATCAGGAAAAGGAGATACTGAAAGAAAAAGAAGGGATTTTTGATATTTTTTGAAATAATAGGGAAAATAAGAAAATATGATTACAAATGATGTGTAATGTAATATACTATGATGGTATCATAAATACAAAATGAATGCTAATAAGAGCATGACGTCAACGCTAATGAAACTAGATATACAACATTTTTTTTTTAAAAAAAAGAGAGAGCAGAGCATTCACCCATAGCCAGACTATTAAAAGGAAGGAGTTGGGAGGTGATGATTCTTTTATATAATAAAAATAAAGTTTAACGACGTGAGATTTAATTTTAGGAACAACAATTTTAACCTCTAAATTTCATTTTGACGGTGGAAAGTCTAAAATCTGTATGGACAATATTGGAGGGGATTTGTGTCCTCGAAATCTATGATATTAGTATTACACGCCTTAAAACACAATTGAACGAGTGTTAGTTATACAAGTATAAAAAATATATCAAACAAGTTATTACTAATACATAAAATTAATGCATGCATTATTTTTATTTATACGCTACCAAAAAAATATACTCATTAAAGGGTGTGTTTGGCATGAAGAATATAATTTTTAATAATATTTTTTAATTTTTTCATGTTTATCTACTTAAATATTTTGAAATATATTTTTCAAATAAACTTATTTTCCTCTCATTTAAAAAATAAAACAAATTTCATACATAAAGCAAGGAACAAAAAAGTTCAAAGCTTTCTTTAAATCAGAAAAATATTTTTCAAAAATCTTCACTGACACCACCTAAAACAGATGCAGACCTGGTATCCAACGTTAAACCCCCACCCAATCTTGACCCATCTCAGATAGTTGTTTTGACCTCTCGACCTTGACTCAAAACCATTTATTTTTCAAAAATAAATAAAATATGTTTTAAGAAAAACATAAAAATGTAAAAAAAAAAAAAAAAAACAAGAAAAATAAAATCTTGTAGTATGGAAATTAATGGAAGTACTTATTTATTACATAATAAGAAACAATCTATAATATAGATATACATTGGGTTTTACTAAAAAGAAAATAGTTTTTATCAAATATGAGTTTAATCGAATATTTTATCCATTTTCTCCTAACTCATTTTCTATCAACTCATATCCAATTCCGTTGTTACCCCAATATACAAATCCTTTAAACATTAAGGTACTCGTAACAAATAAGAGAAACATACCATCTTGAGAAAACACAGCTATTAACAAAAGCCTCAAAACTTTACTTGGACCAAGGGAACACTAATTGTGAGATTATATACATTTTGGAAACAATCAAAATATTTCCACACTCCTAGCAAATACAGTCAGTTTCATCAAGATAGACTTTCCTATAACCTATTAAATGATAAATACAACTATTCTATTCTGCACAGATAATAACTTAATATGTTTTTCCTTTACATAAATGATCATGAACGCTGTCATACAAAAATTGACGGTTAAGACAGCAACACTAAATTCCCAGATCAAATGAAGGAGCGTCTGTGCCATTAGAAATTTGAGTAGTAGGTATTGAGGTCACTGTATTTTGAACCAAGGACTGTGATTTGTTTCTAAGCATTCTAGTAGCCTCTTCTTCCACTGCATCAAAATCGATACTTTGAAAAAACAGGTCATCATTAAATGGATCACCAACTACATTCTCAGCTGCTTCTTCCAAAAGATGCAAGTTTTTACCAGCAGCTGTAGAATGTCGGGAGAATTCGTTTTCTAAATTTATAACTGGCAGGGAAGTTGCTTGATAATAGCTCAACTTTCTTTTCCGACTCGCTAGATTGCCATTGTTTTGTCTTGAAGAGCAAGTGGTTGAGCATCGCATAGCTTCTGGTGAGATTTTACTAATACTTTCCTGAAAGCT